CAGCAGAAGGGACACGAGGTGGTTGTGGTGGCACCTGAAGTCTCTTTGCACATCAAACCATCAAAGAACTTTGTGATGAAAATGTACTCGGTCCCCTACACAAAGGAAGAGATGGAGAAAGATTTCAAGGCATTCTCACAGGTTCCATTTGAAGAGGGATCTTTTCTGGAAAGATTTGTTAAAGCGTACCAAGGTATAAAAAGAATCACTAATTTTGGGGTATCCAGCTGTGAACAGCTCTTGCAAAACAAAGAGCTCATCAGGTACCTTGAGGAGAGCAGGTTTGATGCTGTCCTCACAGACCCTGTCCTACTCTGTGGGGCAATCCTGGCGAAGCACCTTTCAATTCCTTCTGTGTATTTCTTACGAGGAATCCCATGTGGTTTAGATTTTGAAGCCACTCAGTGTCCCAGGCCCCCTTCCTATGTCCCCAGGGGATTTACACAACTTACAGACCACATGACCTTTCTGCAGCGGGTGAAGAATCTACTTCATGACATCCCAGATATTTTCCTCTGTGATTTTGTCTTTGAACCCTACTCAAAACTGGCTTCTGAGTTCCTCCAACAGGATGTGACTGTGCAGGATCTCTTACGCCAGGCTTCAGTTTGGCTCCTGAGGTCAGAATTTGTTTTAGAGTATCCAAGGCCTTTGATGCCCAACATCATTCCAATTGGAGGAGTAAACTGTGCTCACAAGGAGCTGCCTCAGGTGGGTCTGGTTTTAATTCATGCCTTGATTGTTTTCTGTGATCAGAAGGGTGGAATTTTTTCATGCAATAAGCACTGAGTTTCCATTTCTGGTGAGTGAGCTGAATCCTCATAAAAGGAACTGTTTTTCTCTCCTTCTTCCTGACTTCCTACTTCCTGTGTAGGCAGCTGTTCCTTCTGGCTTTTAAAGGGTGCTCAGTTGAAGGGAATCACTGGGGTTTTCTGGTGAAAGTGTGTGATGGGACACTGATGCCACCAGCAAGGTGCCCAGCTCCTGCCTGGAGCAGGTCTGATTTGACACATCCAGCATGGCTTGACTGACACTGGGTGTTTGGGTTTGAGTGCAGACTTGGTGATGATGCCAAACTTTGGGTTCCCTGGCCTGCTAACAAGAGCCCTGTGCAGTGTTCCTCCTGGAGAGCCTTCTCTGCTGCTCCAGAGGAGAGCCTGGAGAGTTGGGTGAGTTCTTTTGGTGCCCTGGCTTTCTCTTCAGTCTTGTTCCTTGGGATTGGTGAGATGCGAGCTGGAATCATGAAGCCAAATATGTGGCAATTCCACCCATCCCCAAGTGTGGAGAAGGCAAGGACACCTTACAGACATCCCCGTGCACACTGGGATTGGCCACGTGAGCATTCACACAATTCCACCACTGCTGGACACCATGGGTGCTTTGTCAGTGAGAAAAACAAAGCCAGAATTAGTCCCTGAATTGTTCTGCAGAAAGTCTCCGTCAAAGAATGTTGTTGGAATTTGGCACTGGCTAGAAGCTAGGCGCTCACAAAAAAAAAACATTTACCCATTCTCTTCTGCTATAGTTGAGCAGAGGAAGGGGAAAGACAAGACATAAGGGGCTCATGACTTGAGGTAAGGATTGGAAAGAAACACTTTAAGGGCAAAACAGGCTCAAAACTTAAAAGGTATGAAGAAAAGTTTATTAACAGAATTAAAGAGGATAATGAGAACTAAAATAAACATTTACAATACCTTCCCCTGCACCACTCGCCATTCTTTCCTTCCCACCAACAGCGCAGAGAGACAAAACATGGGGTTTTTAGTCAGTTTGTTGCTTCTAAAAATCTTTCTGCAGTTTGTTTAGGAAGGGGAGTCTCTTCTGCTATGCAATGGGGCCTTTTTCATGGGGCAGTGATCTGTGAACTCTGTGAACTTTTCCAATGTAGTTCTAATTTTCACAAGTAGCAGTCATGCCCAACCTCCTACCACGTGAGTCCCTCCCAAATCAGTCTTCCTACAACTGTTTGTGTGGGTCATTTCAGTTCATGGGGTGTACTTCTTTAAGAATGAGGAATTCTGGTTTGGAAGCAAGGAAATACCCTTGCTTGGCCAGAGGCAGTCCAAGAAGGGGCCCAGCAGCACCCTCACCACACCTCATAGGAGAGGACTGCATGTGTTTTCTCGTTCTTAAATATTTCATCATAGAGGCGTCATTAACTTCTCAAATTTGGACAGCTGTCCTTACAGACTCTTTCCTACCCTGTGAGGTAATCCTGGCAGAGCATCTTTCACTTCCTTCAGTGTTTTTGTTACGAGGAATCCCGTGTGGGTTAGATTTTGAAGCCACTCAGTGTCCCAAGCCACCTTCCTATGTACCCAGGATTTATACAGACAATACAGACCACATGACCTTTCTGCAGCGAGTGAAGAATCTGCTCTATGACATCCCAGACCTTTTCCTCTGTGAATTTACTATTAAGCCATACTCAAAAATGGCTTCTGAGTTTCTGCAGAGGGAGGTGACTGTGCTAGATCTGTTACGGAAGGGCTCTGTTTGGCTGCTGAGGTTCGATTTTGTGCTCGACTATCCAAGACCTTTGATGCCCAACATCATTCCAATTGGAGGAGTAAACTGTGCTCACAAGGAGCTGCCTCAGGTGGGTCTGGTTATAATGCATGCCTTGATTGATTTCTGTGTTCAGGAGGGTGCAATTGTGTGTTGTGACAGGGATCAAGTTCCCATTTCTGGTGAGTGAGGTGAATCTTCATGAAAGGAACTGTTTTTCTCTCTTTTTTTCCTGATTTTGCATTTCCTGTGTAGGTAAGTTTCCTTCTGGCGATTAAATGGTGCTCAGTTGAAGGTAAACACCAGGGTCTTCTAGTGGGAGTTTGTGGTGGGACATTGATTGCACCAGCCAAGAGACTGTTGAAATCTGTGGATAGTAAGAAAAATTGCTGGGTTCCTTTAATGAACATCTCCGAAGGGGAGTCCCAGAAAAGCTTAACAACTCCTTTTGGATAGACATGCCCAGTCCTCATGCCTGGAGGAGGTCTGATTTGGCACATCCAGCACAGTTTGACTGGCACTGGGGGTTAGGGTTTGGGTGCAGTCTTGGTGATGGTGCCTGGAGAGCTGGGTGAGTTCTTTTGGTGCCCTGGCATTCTCTTCAGTCCTGGTCTTTAGGATTAAAGGTTTGCTGCAGGGTGGGATCGTGAAGCCAAATGTGTGGCAATTCCACCCATCCCCAAGTGTGGAGGAGGCAAGGACACCTTACAGACACCCCCATGCACACTGGGATTGGCCACGTGAGCATTCACACAACTCCACCACTGTTGGACACCATGGGTGCTTTGTCAGTGAGAAAAACAAGCCAGAATTAGGCCCTGAATTGTTCTGTGGAAAGTCTCCCTCACAGACTGCTCCTAAATCTCTGCTCGGAAAAATGGTATCATCCTTCCATCACTTCTATCTTCTTACTGTTTAAACCATCTTAAAGAGCTGTTCCACAACTGCTGTGGGGTCTCAGTCTTCCAGATAGGAGTTTTCCATGAGAGCGGGAGAGGGGCCAGGCCTTACCTGGGGGAAGGGGAATCTCTGCTGGGCTGAATGGGGATGTGTATGTCATTCATGTCCTACATGTGACATGTCTCCCACATGGACAGAAGTCCAGCAGGAGGAAAGGAATTGGACATGAAGTCCCAGCAGCAACCACTGCCTCCCTCTAAGGGTACTCTGGACTGTTCTTCTGATAGAGACAGGTAGAGTTATCTGGAGGTTCTATGGACTTGGCAGGAGTTCCATGCTTGTTAAGCAGCCATTTATCATATTAGGGATTACACATTTACCATGCAGCACATAAAATAAGGATCCAAATTTGGGCTGTGGCACAGATCATTTGAAGGAGTGGAGCGTGTACCAGTCTCCATCCCGTGCTCCCGAGGGCTTCCTTCCCTGGAGGCACTCACCTGATCCCTGCAGGAATGGCCCCGGGGCTCAGTGCTTCTCCACCCGTTGTGCTTCTGTTCCTGTCCGTGCTGGGTCTGGCTGCTGCTGGGAAGCTC